AGGGGTCGTGTATGCCGGGTTTTGAGACCACGGGCTCCCAATCTTTTTTTTTTTTTAGAGCTAATGTGAGAAACAACAACAACAACAACAACTCCGCGCAAGGGGGATGGATGATCGCACCACGTTGTGTTAAAATGGTCGAGCACCCTCGAGGCAGTTGCACAGTGCTTACAACTGTCTCTGGAAGTGAAAGCACCAGAAAATAAATTACGTCATTCGCAGTTGTTATCCGTACGCAAGGAAGTAAGCACAGGATGCCGAACACCCTTAGCAGGATGCAGCGCACCCTTCATGCGACTCGTCGAATATCTCACGGCGCTTCGCGCTTGGTGATGTGAGAGCCTGGTCCGGTGAGAACCCGGCGTGCTCCGTCCCGGCTTTGTAGGTATTCGAGGTCAATGGTCCAACGACTACGGCATGCACGACTATGAGTACCCGCCCCCCCCCCNAATGTAATGCCGCAGCCGCGGTTGAGGAGGTTCTCTTGTTTACCACACCGTACCGTTTCCCTTCCCTCCGCACCTGTTTCTTTCTTCGAAAAGGTTCTCTTGGTCACCGAACCGTCCCCTTTCATTTCCCTCCATACCTTTTTCTTTCGTTAGCCCTGTTTCCTGACCCCCTCCACCCAAAAAAACGTGACGCCAACGGCCTGTTCAGGGCAAGGAAGACGTTCTCGAGCATCATCGCCAGCAACGACAGGCGTTGAGTCAGTTTTTACTGAGTGCATCGTAGAACGTGTTTTGGGGAAGTGGCGCTACTTGTCTTGTCCGTTCATGCGTATGTTGTCGTTTATTTGGTGGTGGTCCTCGTCTCTGGTTGGCGAACTTGTGCCTCTTTTCGAGGCCGGTCCGTTGGCCTTGCTCTTGCCGTTCGTGCGGGATTAAGTTTTATGGGTATGGATGGGTATAGCCAGGGCGGCTGCGTCGCCAAGGATCCAGATTTTGACGGAATTGATACGCTTGTTTTGATTGTACGATGTAGGGTTGAGGTAAACGTGCGATGGAATCATGATGTGGTGTTTGTAGATCAAGAGGCGATAGGGTAACTATGGCTTTGCAAGAGGTTGTGTTTCGGAGTGCGTACGCTCTTTGGGCGAGAGATTTGGAAGGTCGTCTGCCAACCCCTACCAAGTCTAGG